CTATTCTTATATTGGAGATGCACGCTCATTGTAGCCCAGAGGGTCCAAGAAAAGCCCTTGCATAATTTGCTGAACATGACGTAGGCCAGGCAGGCATTGTACAGGGAAGCAGGGAGGTTTGTGCCTCTCTCTCTGTGTGTACACGTGCACAGGTCTTCCTCAGAGAAACATGGGGTTTGGTGACACCCCACTAGCCTGCTCCTTCCAGGCATCACAAAGCAGAAGCACCACCAGGGATCCTAGCCCATTTCCTCTCTTTCCTCCTTCCCTGTTGCAGGTTTGAACTCCAGGCACAGGGTCCAACTTTTCCTGAGAGGAGGAGAAGGTGCTGCCAGCAGGGCTCTGCATGGTGAAGACCTCTGTCCTGTGTTGCCTGGGTTCCTTCCACCCTTGCCGCTTTCTCAACTGATTACTCGTGTGCTCTTTGGATTCCCCAGCCAGCGAGTTTGTCCCGTTCAGGAGGCCGTGTGGATGTCCTTATGAGCAGCGAGGGATGAGGGCGCTGTGGAGAGGCTGCCAGTGGCCTGGATGTGGTGAGGCTGCGAGCAGAGCAGCAGAGGCGTGGCGCTGGTAGAATGCGAGTGAATGGAATTACACGGCTCAGCTGCTTTCAAGACCCTAGTGGTCTCTGCAGCTACGTCCCAGAAACCACCTCTGGAAATACTTGGGCTACTGCCTGTCAGCGGGGGAGCCGGGTGGGGGAGGTCCTGGCTCAAATCCTCAGCACCTCTTCTCACTCGTGTATTCTTCCTTCCTTCCCATGCCAGCACACTGTCTGTTCCTGGGCTGGAGGGAGCCCTGCACACGCACAGCCCTGAGCACGCATATGCCTCCCATCACAGTGAGCACTGCACCAGCCTGGAGCAATTCCAATACTCAAGCACGTGTGTGACAGGCCTGGCTGGGGTGGGCAGAGGCTTGGGATGCTGAGCATCTCCTGCCCCTGCAGTCCCTCTGTGGAGGAAGGAGGGCTGAGAAAAGCAGTCTGGAAAGGGGCTCCTGGCCTGCTTTGTTTCCTGGCTCTCCTGGTCCCAGGATGAGAGATGCATGGGTAAGGATATCGTGGGGCAGCTGAGACCTCCACCCCACGCTTTCCTCCATGATGTTCAGGCACATTCCCAACTCTGCTACAGAAAGTAAGAGAAGCTGACTGCAGTGGAATTCACAGTTCCTTGCAGGAGAGCAGCTGGAAGCTGCAGGCACTCTTTAGCTCTTCAGAGAAAGGGATGGGGAAGGAGCTTCACTGCAAAGCCCGTGAGAGCCCTCAGCAAGCAGAATCCTTGGGCTGTCATGGTGTCTTTCCTGGTCCTGCCTCTCATGGACATGAACTGCTGTGCTGACAGTACTGCATGGAGAAGAGGAGCCCTCATGCAGCTGGGGTGCAGGGGGTGTGGAGGGGAAAGAACCAGCCATGGCATATGTTTGTGTGCATCATTCCCCAGCCAGCCAATCCTTTTTCACATTTCATATCCTGCCCAACCCCAGCATGTCTCGTCCTCTCTCAGCGCTTCCTCTTCACAGATCTCAGGGCAGCTGTAGCAGGCAGGTCCCTGAAAAGACAGGGGCTTTTTCCCCATGGTTTGCTCCTGGTTCTTTGTGGCCATGTTGGCCCCTATGGGTAAGTGAACTCCACTCACCCCTGAGCACCTATATCAATTCCATGGCTGCTGTTCCAGCTGCATACCCGGTTGCTGGCAGTGCTCCATTCCCCAGAGCTTCCTGTGCTGAGGATGGGCCATGAGTGAGGTGGGCAGCAATCCCTGAATCTTCTACAATGGCTGTCTATTTTTTATTCTGTGCACAGCCCCCATTTTTGGACACAAACTGCCCAGGAATATTTCTTGTCTTGGTTTGAAGAGCTGTCCCATCCCCTCTGCTGCTGCCTAGCTTATTCTGTTCCTTCCCAACATCTTCACTACCAGCCTACAGTGCCTAGTTCATGTTTTTCCATTATTTCCACCCCACGCTCTCTCTGCCTTTTCAACTCTCTGCCTTTTCCCTTTCCAGCGCTGGCTCTGGTACAGTCCCCAGACGCACTGATACGGCAAGGCCAGTCCATGACTCTGAGCTGTTCCGACATGAAATCCTCCAGCACAGCTATGTACTGGTACAAGCAGGCTTTGGGGAAGGACTCCAGGCTGATCCTAGTGGCTTCTGGACTCAAAGGTGGCAAATCGAATGTTGAAGGCGATCTCCAAAGCCGTTTCAAGAGCAGCGAGATACAAGGAGGGCAGATGACCCTCTTCATAAACCATGCCTTTCTCAATGACTCTGGCACGTATTACTGTGCTGAGGATGAATCACAGTGGCTAGGCTGCTGAAGGAACCAAACACAAACCTCCCCCTGCACAAAAGGCTCTTGCTTTCCTCCTCCTCGGTGCTGCATGAGGCAGGATGGTCACTTTCCACTCATTACCTCCTCTGCTTCCTAACCATCCCTCCCTCCTCTTCTCAGATTGAGTTTATTTGTCCTGCTTTCTTCCCTTGCCACCCCAGTCCTCCTTCCCTCCCTCTTCATTTAACTCTCATTTACCTTTATATTCACTTCTGCCAACACTTGTTTCCTTCTCTGCCTCCCTTTTTGTCCCGACCTTCTTCTTTCTTTGTCTGCTCAGTCTGCACTCCACACATTTCCTCTCCTTTGACTCCAGCCAAGCCCGCTCATCCGTGTCACTGCCAAACTAAAAGGATGTTTTCATGAGAGGTCTTGGTGCACCTTTAGATAAAGGTAAGACCAGGCAGGTGGCATAATAGCTGGTACCAAGTGGGAGCTACCCACATCCTCCTTTGTTACAATGGCCTGGCTGAGGTTATCCTGTGGCCAGGGGATATGTGCAGCAGAGCTCAGGCCTGCACCTACTCAGGTTCACTGTTCTGTGAATCACTCGCTCCCACACACACAGTGTGTGTGATCCAGGTCGGGATCACTACTTTCCACATTTACCTTTCCCAGAGATATTATATAATTCAGGGATTATGTGAGCAAGCTGTGCAGCTAACAGAAAGTTTCCTGACAGGTTAGATTGTTATTTCTGTTGTAAGATGCACCAGTGTGCAGCACAGGTCAGCAAGGGGTACTCTAGCAGGTTCTCACACTGCAGCTCCTCATGCTGGAATATGGGCTTCTCAAGCCCTAAGCACAAGGCTCAACAGAGTGGGCACAACCTGTTCAAGATCCCTGACTCCTCAAAACCCATGTGTTCTGCAAGGCACCCAATGCACTGTGCTGCCACCTGCACGCCCCAGGGAACCCTGCAGGAAACTGAGACACTTCCCGTGGACACATCAGGCACAGCCTGCTCTCAGCTGGAGTGCTGGGGGTGTTTTTGAGGCTGTGGGGTTTCTTCCTGTTGCCAGCCCAATTTAGCCCACCCTCTTTGTTCTTTTCTGCATTTTCTTCTGAGGAAGCCAGGGTAATTTGAGAATCCCCTATAGGCAGTTTATGGAAACTAATGCAATGGGACACACTTGGGCCTGCAACAGAGGGTCTGGGAGCTGGAGGCATTGCTGCACGCTCCTGCTAAAAGAATACAGGGGCACATCTTCACTGCAAAGCCCATGACAGTCTTGAGCAGCCAGATCAGTTGCTCTTTTGTATGGGCTGGAAGAGCACTGTTGTGCCTTGCTGGGACCATGCCATCACACAGATGTGCAATGACAGCAAGGCTCTGTCAGGCCTCTGGCCCACAGAGAGCTTGTCAATGTACACAAGCTGTAAGCCTTGCTTGCTGCCTGCAGTGATTTCCCACAGCCTTGGCTTGGTGAACACGACTGTGCCCCACGCAGAGAAAACAGCAGGATTTTTCTCCAGCTCTGCTCATCCTTATCCCTCTGCTCCTTTGCAGAATGCTACAAAAAGGAGAGAGCCCAGGGCACCCTTTTCTCTCCTTAAGATCTCCCTTTAGAGGAAGAGGAGTTACAGAACTCCTCTCTGTCATGCTACAACAGACACCAGGATGACAGCTCGTCAGCCTTTCCCATACCTGCACAACATGATGGACAAGCAGCACTTTGATAAGCAGAGAAGATTCCACATTGCAGCTTGCAGGGTTAGGAGTCTGTACGTGTCAGGGTATCTAGAGAGGAGACTCAGCTGAGGGTCACGGACACAAACCTGCATTCCTGAGCTCGCTCTTTTCCCTTTTGTTCCTCTTTGTGCTTCCCTGTGCCATGTGCACACTCAGGCTGTCACACATCATGTTCCCGTGACAACACTTATCTCTGGCCCACACAGACACACACACGAGCAGGAAGTCAGTGGAGGAGGGTACATGGACCTCATGCCTGTTGCAGGTGTTACTCCTCACGGTTCCCAGCCAGCCAACTGCCTTCTCACTTTCAGGCTCTGTCTCACTACCCTGCCCACCTGCAAAGAGATCTCTCTTGCTCTTCACACATCTTTGTGCCTGCTCTGCCACCGCGGGCAGGTTGCTGGAAGGAGGTGGCCATCCTCCATGGCTCTCCGCTGGCTCCTTGTGGCCATCCTGGTCCCTGTGGGTAAGTGAGCTTCCCTTCTGCTTGAACAGCTGCACTGGAGCCACTGCTGCTGCCTTAGCTGTGTGCTCCATTGCTGGCAGCACGCCATTCCCCAAGGCTTCCAGGGCAAGGGTGAGCAATGAACAAGCTGAGCTTCTCTTCAACCTCTTAACCCAGAAAACTCTACAGATCTACAGATTTGTATTTTTTTTCTGTCCCATTTTGGTATTTCATTTGAGAGTACTGAAACTGTCACTTTTCATAACAAATTTTCTATTGTATTTGAAACTTTTTTTTTTTTCCTGTGTCTCTGCCTCAGAGAAACAGGACACTGTCCATACCTTGCTGACATCTTTATGCCATCCCCATCCCATATCATACTTCGAGGACATGTTTTTGTGTCCCTTTCAATGCATTTCACTGCTTACACCTCTTCTCTTCTCTTTCCAGTCCAGGCCCTTCAGCAATCGCCGGACACCGTTGTCCAAGTGGGAGATTCTGTGACTCTGAACTGTTCTGAAACAGTGAGCCCATTCTCAACCATGTCCTGGTACAAGCTGCCGACGGGGAAGGATGCCTCTCTGCAGCTGATTATATACTCAGTGGAAGGTGGCATGGCAGAGACTGAGAAGGAATTCAGAAACCGCATCCAGAGTAATGGGACTAGGGGCAGACGCTTATCCATGAAAATAACCCATTCCTTACTCAATGACTCAGGCACATATTTCTGTGCTGGCCAAGACCCACAGAGACTCAAAAGCTGGCGTAGCATTGCACAAACCTTTCCATGCAAATGGGGATCTGCCCCCAGCACACACAGAGCCCTGTGTTTGACAGTACCCCATTTACTCCTCTTGCCCACCAGATTTGTCTACTTAAGGAAAGCAGTGACATTGTCTGTCTGTCTCTAATTTCTTTCCTGTTCTTCCCCATCTTTGAATCACTCTTTGGTCCACTTTTCTCTTGTACTTGTTGCCTTGCCTCATTTCTCTGCCATCCACAGACAGCCTCTTGCTTTCCTCCTCTACTCCTTCTCTCTGCCTCCTTCCCCTTTCTTCTCTGTCCTCTCTCACACCTGTCACACTCCTATTTCCTACATCCTTTTCCATTTCTTCTCCCTTTCAGCCTGTTGCACTAACTCGTGGGTCAGCAGGATGTGGAATAGTTCACAAAACCCTTTTGTTTCCTTCTCCACTAGCCGGAAAGCCAAGGCCAACCTGGAGTTGAATCTGGCAGTTGGTCCCAGAACTGAGCGCTCCTGCGTGTGCTCGTGTGTCTGCAGGCTTCAAGAGTGTCCTGAGATTGCTCACACTGCAGTTCCAAGAGTATAGGTGTCTCAGTGATGACGCAGGGCTCAGCACGCTGCCTTGTGTGAGGGACTCTCAGTTCCAGAGCACCAGCAGGACCATGCCACTGAGCACTTCTATGTGTGCACCAGTCCCTTGGCCCCACCAGTCTCCAGGGGCTGGGCACACTGCTGTGCATCACGTCCCCTGAGTCACACTGCTACCCTATGACCAGGGCACTCATGTAAGTGATGTAGCCTGAGTCCTGATGGTATCCAAGGACAGAGGATGATCCTGTAGGTGAGAAGCCTCGAGCCTCAAGCAAGGTGTCTGTGGCAATAACCCACCATACCTCTTCTTCTGCTAGTGAGAATGGAGCTGTCAGGGCCAGGAGGGGGATCATTTGCCACCCTGCTCCATACTGGGGAGGCCACAGCTGTGGAGCGGAACCATCTTGTACCCCCAGGCCAAGAGACGTGTCTGTCAAGGGTCTTGGAAATAGTGAGCACTGGAACATAGGGCAGGTGGGGAAAGGATGAGGGTTCTGGGTTTGTCCAGCTAGAAAACATGAAGGCAGGGAAGCATTAGTCGCAGCCTCTCATTCTCCAGAGAGGGCTGAGGACGGTCTATGGACAGACTACTCTTGGAGGTGTCCAGGAAAATACTGAATGGTGATGGGCACAAGCTGAGACAGAAATTCTGCTGGGGCAAAGGGACAGGTCCTTTTCCAGAGGAATGAAGCATTCCTGGAACAGGGCCTGGTACTCAAAGGAGTGGTTTGCATTTGGGGAAACTTTCCATACTGCCCTGGTCCAGTTCTAGAGACACCTGATCCAGTTCTAGAGCCAGCCCTTGCCTGTGTGGAGGGCAGACTGGATATCCTTGGATACCATGCCCCGAAGTTCCTCTTTAGTGTATTCCCCAGTGCAGCACAACTTTCAAGAAGAATGGGGGAATGTTTTTGTGGTGCTCACATAGGCTGCTGTTTCTCCCTTAAAGTCCTGCCAAGAACAGCAAGTGTGTATTAGTCCTGTCCAGCAATGGGAGGAAGGCAACAGAAAGTTACTCTCTGAGGAAGGAAGGTGCCCTCTGTCCCTTATCCCTCTGCTGACCGTTTCATGGTTCAACTGTTACACGGGAACACCTTTACTGAAACCAGTTCTGGAGTTCTTAAAAAAACCCTGTGTTCTGCCAGTGACTAGGCCTAACAAGAACAATACAACCAGCAGAAAGATGAACCAATAAGTGGAATGTATTGAGCACAAAAAGGCCATGCCATGAATGATCGCTGGGGGTATAAACAAGTCAATTGGTTCACATACAACCGACATTACCCCCAAAGATCCCAGAAATGACATAATTCAACTGACAATAGGTGGTACAAACAGAGAGCCAAGGTTTCCCATGGATGGTAAGAGAAACAGACAGATCAGAAGGTTAAACAAATAAGATAAAGGTGCCCACAGGGCAACTCTCACCCATCTATCCCATGTTCACAAAGGTCTGAACTGACCAGAGCCCAGCTCCAGGAGAGTCAGGAGGTGTCTCCTTAAGCAGGAAGTTCTGTGGAGTGCACCAGAAAGTTCTGGAGAGGCACCCCACCCCACAGACAGACACTCCTCCCTTCCTGCAAGTGGTCCCAGCTTTTATCCCCTGGCAGAGCCCTGACCTTTGTCAACTCAATGCGGGACACCTGGGGCTCATTTCCCTTCTGGCTCTCCCTGCAGGGCCGGCCGCACCCTGGGGGGAAGCTATAAGGCAAACTCAGCACCTCTTTATGAAGGGTTGTGGGAATCACCCATATGGCAACCTTGATTTGGGGCTCAGGGTTCAAGCCCCAGCATTTCACCCTGTGATTTCAAAGAGATTCTAGTGGGGTCCCATCACACAAGATTGCAGTCTTAGACCAGGGACCAATTAGATTTGTCCATTATGAGTGTCCTCACGCCTTACTCCATCACACAGAAGAGTTCAGTTGCTTTTCAGCTGTTGGGGCTGCACTCTGATCTACCTGGATCCCTCTGGAACACACCAATCCAAGCTGGCTGTCCCTGCCACCACTTCCTTTTGTCCCTTGGTCGAGAAGGTCCCATGCTAGGTTCATTGGTCTCTCACCACTGTTTCCAACCCTCAACCCAAGGAAAGGAGAGCTGTCACAGCTGCATGTTGACTGCCCATGGTCACCTTTCTGGTTCCACCATTGTTCTGAAGGCTTCCAGGCTCCTGCCATGGACACTCTTGCCATGCAATGGAAGGGATAACGGGTGGAGGTGGTGGGGTGTGGAGGCGTGTGTGGGTGCACTGCGTGCTTCCCTAAGGCACAGAGGATCTTGACCTTTCCCCAGACCCACGCTCTGAACGATATGAATCAGGTTACACAGAGCCAGTCCCCAGGGATACATGGAGCTAGGGCTTTACTGTCCCTATGACTTGGTGTCTCTGTATTGACCATGATGGCTTGTTGGATCCACTCTTCATGGACTCCAGAGGTAAACAGTAACACTGGACACCCTCCGTGGTGCAGTTCTCAGACACTCAGTGGATAAAACCCTGACTAGCACAGAAGCCTCTCTTATGGGGCAGGTTGTGGGTTTTACTTTCCCATCTTACTTCCTAGGAGCACAAGATGTTTCGCTTGATGCTTGCTTGCTTGAGGCCCAGGCTCCTAGGCCCCTGAGGAGGCTCCTAAATCACTTTGGCCTCAGTGATGTACCCTAAAAGAGGCTGACTGTTGCCTGAAGGAATGTTTCAGTACGGTCCTGCAGGTGCAGGCCTGAGTCCCACGGTTTTAAATCACTTTGGTAACGTGGTAACTTACCTGATGGGCCACAGAGCACCTTTGTGTGTGTGTGGTGTTTCTCCAGGACTGAGATGCTCTCCTTCCTGGGAACTGCCTCTGCGTGCCAGAGCAGTAATGTCGCAGGGACCTGCAGTGCACGGGCAAGCAGCAGTGTGCAGGGGCAGGAGGACAGACTCCCGTGTTCCTGGCTGAGCACCACAGCTTCCCCACCACACCCCTGCCACGACTTACTCCAGCGCAAGCACATGCACAGAGCCCTTTTCAGCAGCAAATGCAGCATGTGCAGAGGGCTCCCCATGGGGCCTGACCCCACACACACATCCCACAGCAGACAGGCCTCACACTCCTGCCTCCCTCAAGGGAGGATGTCTCATTCTCTCACAGTTGTTCTAGGTAACGCTTGCTGTCTTCTCGGACTGTTTCTTCCCCTCTCTTCCAAGACTGACAGTCCCTCTCCACTTTCACTGACGTTTCCTCTACCTTTCCAGACCCTGTGAAGCTACTGCCCTTCCTTGCAGTCCTGCACAAGAACTCTGTAGTCCTGCAGTTCTCACTGCAGCCAGACTTCAGATAGAGGCCCCACTGTGGGTGGTGGGAAGCGAGGGTGGAGGTGGTCTTCTACAAACCTATAGAACAGCTGCTGATCCTCACACAGGGCCCACTGGTGGCCCAGAACAGGCAAAATGATGGGACATTCCTGTCATTTAGGCAAGTGTCCTGCAAGTACTGCCCCAAGACAGTACTTGGCCATGGTGGAAGCAGTGGTTGCTCCAACTGTCAGAAGGACATGTTCTCTGGGTGCCATCCAGGTGTCGGCACCTTGGTTTCATCTCCCCACAAGGATGCGGATGACCTCCAGGGGACATGGCTGTGACACACTGATCTGAGGCTTCAGTGAAAACCTTCATGCACCTTCCTAGCTGCCTTGTCCTGCCATTAGTCTCTTAGTTTTACATTCAGCTTGACAAATTGCATAGTGACAAGGAAGATGGGCCTTTAGCTTCCTCTTACACAACATGCCCTGGCCATGAATCACTTCAGAGTTGAGCCCCTTACAGAGGGAAAGAAAGCATTTCCCATAGGGAGGCACCTTTCCACTCTGTACTGCAAGTCCTGCTGAGGAGGGTCAGAAAAAGAAACAGACCAGGCAGTCCTTCACTCCTAGGAAGATGGGGTTTGGGATGGTGAGGCCTCCTTCTGTAGTTCTGCAGGCACAACAGCACATGACATCCCACTCAATCTGCAGGCAAGGACCAACTCTTGGTCCACATGGCAGATACAAAGAACCTGTTTCAATGCCTGGCCTCTTTCTGACCTCCTTGCAAAACACCAACCTCTCCCCTCTCCCCTCATTCATACATTGCCATGGATTGTCTGTGCTCCCAGCAGAGGCAAACCAGTGAGCAGTGACACAGGTTTGTTCCACTAGCTCATGTAATTTATTTCCAGCCATCCAGGGAGCTACAGGCAAGCACGAGCATCCAAACCCACAGTAAGGGACCCTATGCATTGGCCCAGATGGTTCATAACACCCAGTGCTGCAAGTGTCATCTCCACTGACCCCAGCCAGACAACTACTTTCTCACATTTCAGGTGCTATTGCGCTGCCCTGCCCACCCCCAATGTCACTTCCTACCTCAGCATTTCCTCCTCACACGTCTCTGTGTCTGTGCTGCCACCATGGGCATATTTCCACTGCAGGCTCTTTTTTTTTTTTTTTTTTTTTTTTCTGATTTCCTCCCCATCTAAAATGTTCCTAATATATTAACATTTTCTGAAGCTTTCTCTCCTGGTCATTCAGGGACAGATGAGCAGCTTGCTGAACTTAGGCCGGGAAACCCTTCAGAATAAGTCTGGGACAGTATGGGGTAAGCTTTAATTTTCATCACAACATCACAAGGTGCAGCCTTGTCTCTTATTCTGCAAGGAGCTGAGAGGGAAGAGATGACAGCTTTCCCCACGTCATGCAGCTGTGCAGTGACTGCACACCTACAACATGCAGCTAACAGCCTGTGCACAGGGTCCTTCCTAGTAACACAGACTGCCAACATCTAAGCACAATCATCTACATTTTCAAAACTTTCTTGTACTCAAACTCTCTATTTCCTTCTGCCTTTTTGTCCGTTCGTTTGTTTTAGGAGACGGCAGCACAGCCCACTGGCAACTTGGGCAGCTTTTTCATGGGCTTCAATTCCAGTGCCAGTTGGGATTAGGAGGAGTTAAAACCAGAACACAGGAACATCTCTGCCCTTTTGACTCTTCCAGGAGAAGTAAGGAAGCCCAGCACAACCAGCTACCTGGGTAAAAAGGTGTTGACAGCAGCCCCAGTGGCACTTGCACATGAAGCGAACAAGCCCTAGGAAGAGATAGTTCCATTCCCTAAGTAGAGCTCTCAGGCAGGTTCCACTAGGGAACATTCATACTCTTGGGGGTGGGAGTGGGGTTGATGGGGAGCGTTTGTGTTGCTGCCTGCTGCTTTCTGCAGTAGGTGGATGCTGCCTGTGCGATTCCGCCCACTCTCCCAGCTGTTTTAGGCAGTTTTGTAGCACCTGAGTACGTGCTGAGAAACAGAAAAGATGTTCTGCTTCAAAACTGGCCGACTGAAAGACTCCTGAAGATGAGTCTGCAAAGCCCCCCAAGACCCTGCTAGCCGAGAGGCGCTGCAGATATAAAACCTTTTCCCCAAGGCGACATTCCCTGCCCCTGTGCTCCGTATCTTAGCCCACGGAAGTACCCAGAGAAGCGCTGCACAAAGAAGTGGTGCCTGAAAGTCTTTATTTTTTGGTAATTTTTGTATGTCCAGTCTCAAAATAGAAGAAAATGAGGAGGAGAAGAATCAGGTCACATAGCAGGAGAGTGTCTCAGTTGGCAGACATAGTTGTTTTGATCCAGGAGACGTAGTTGCAAACCTTGGTGTAAACCCCAGGATAGCCTTTCTTCGCACAGCCAATGCCCCAGGAAACAATGCCCTGGAGCTGCCCGTTGCAGACGACGGGGCCGCCGGAATCGCCCTGTGCACAGAAAGGATACGGCTACTCAGCAACTGGTACCAGCCAGAGATCCCAGAAAGCACTGACTTTCGAGGGAGCTCCACTGGACTTTTTCTGCACCCAAGTTCTACAAAGGTCATTTCTGACTCCCGCTCTACTCCTGATGCTACTCTGCCTTACTTTGGCTCTAGGGCACCACAGCTAAGGATGAGGAAGCTGCCTGGTTTTGATGGATGCAGTCCTTGGCAGGCGCGAAGGATGCACGTGCCTTAAACATTATTCTCTCAAATATCTCCATGGAGATAGGCACATGGAAAAGGCAGAGCAATTGCCAGGTGTCTTCATTTTCCAGACTGCCCAGATCTTGCCATGCTGGCTGTTCCATTTTTGCTGACTCCAAACCGAACGTCTGTGTCCTGAGCTCTGAAGACACTGTGATTGCTACTGACTCTCTGGTGCAGCGCTCCTCCGTGTTCAGTAGCCTAAGGTGCAGGAGGTGGCATAGTTCACTTGTGGAGACTTCGGGCAGAGGTATTTGCTGCCTCAAAAAAGGGACAATGGCTAACTGAGGGGAGACCCCCCCACCTCACTCAGTAAGCAACTCTCACCCTAAGTCTCTGCCATTGTTCAAAACACCAACGTTTGGATGTGCCAGTGCAGTGATCATAGCGGCTGCTGTAACGTGATGGGCTCTTCGACTAGCAAAAGGCAGGAGAGGAACAGATGGGAAAGGAAAGGCAGATGTTTTACCTGGCAGGAGTCTTTCCCTCCCTCCAGGAATCCAACACATATCATGTTCTTGGTAATTTGTCCAGGGTAGGCCTTGCTGCAGTCGCTTGCTGAGAGCACGGGCGCCTTCAGGCACTGCAGCTTATCTGGATACCGACCTACAAGAGAACAGGGAAAGGTGGCTGATGACATCTCCGAGTTCATTTCAGAGCCCAGGGGAGATCTTTCTTAGCAGAAAAGTAATCACTGAACATCCTGGTTTAGCAGGCGTCTTTCCTCTGAACTGTAAGCACAGCATGGGTTTCTGTTGTTCAGATGGAACAGATTCTACCCCTGGGTCCACCGTTCTACGCTGCAGCCATGGTCATTTTTCTGATACCTAGAAAATCATCAACTGGCAAGTGTGGAGCTAAGAGCGACTCTTGCAGCACATACGCTGGAGGAAACCTGGGCCTCAGGAAAACCGTCTTCTCCTCTGATGCAGGTTTGGTCACCAGGAGCGGGTCAGACACCAGTTGCCACCCACACCTCTGGCCACTGGTCTATGAGAACAGAACACTCTTGTAGTGATTTGAGATCCACGGTCACAGATTTTGATCTTGTTCTCAGAGAACTGATGACTCTATTGACATTGGTTAAATTGCTACTGCTGGGCACTGTAGAGCTGACAGCGCCAGGCCATGGGGGACTTAACTTATTCGATGTTTGCAACACAGGACGAGAGGAAGGACCTTACAAAGGCTTGCCTTTGAAGCAGTTAACTGGTTACTGTGCCACACTGACGGACCACTCAGCAAGGCCTGTTCCACAGCGCTTCTCTGCGCTTCAGCCTGTGCTGTTTGGAGTTCACTGTGAGGGCTTAAGAGTGTCTCCCGGGCCCTTGTGATGCTGAGCGTTCCCACAGAATACTCACTGCCACTGCTGAGTGTGTTGCCCCAGCCAGAGATGAGGCATGTGGTGCCCGTGGTCACACAGCTGGTCGGCAGAGGAACTGTTTGGACAGCTCGGTTCAGCTGGGCTGGTGTGGCAAGCTTGATGAGCATAATGTCATTGTCCAGCGATGAGGAGCTGTAGCCGGAGTGGCGGATGACTTTAGCGGAATTGATGAACTGCTGTGTCGATTCTGTGACTGCCAGGTTATGTTTCCCGAGCTGCACTTGGATGCGACTGGAAAAGAGAAGGAATGGCATGTACTGTACTGCTGCCAACAGGTCATGGGGGACCTCCCCATCACCACATGCACTCTCTTCAACACTGCTATCGTGGTAGCTCTCTTGTCCTGCACTAGGTCCTGGGGATCCACGCTGAGATCTCACCCACCCCCAGTACAGATGGTGAATTTCTGCAGGTTTCTCTCATTCAGCAGGCACAAGCTGAACGTACAACAGTGCTTTGCACAAAGGTTCTGGAAAAAGGCGAGGTCACGCCGTCACCATGACCTCGTGCGTCTTCCTGTTCTCCAGTCACTGAATAAGTTTTAGCAAGATTAATGCAATTTCTAAGAAATCATGGCCTGTAACTCACTGCTAGGTTACCAAATTGCCATTTCAGAAAGAGCTCTGCCTCCACGGAACCATCTGAGGGAGAGGAAAACCCCTTGTGGTGCCTCAACCCAGCTCCCTGAGCGAGCCACTCATTCCGTGGCGGCCTCCTGTCAGAAGGGAGTCACTTACACGTTTGGACCACATAGCTCAGAATTCCTGCTAGAAGGGGACAGGGAGAAAGAAGCAGGTTACGGAAGAATGCGGTGGGTCTTTTTTCTACTTACGACTTGTAGCAGTGAGCAGCTGACAGGACCCACTGGCTGTTGATAAGGGAACCTCCACAGAAGTGATATCCGGAATTCAGGGACACCTGATAGGGGACAGAGTTTGCTGTGCAGGTGTAGCCTCCCACGATCTTATCATCGTCGTCATCAGCATTGAGGGGGAAGGCAACTGGGAGATAAGAATTGGCATACATCAACATATGGCACAGAGACTCTTGTGGCCCTGTGGCTGACTGAAGCGTCTCGCTTGCAGGCGCTGCTGCTCTAAAAACTCAGGGGAGGGGTGGTGGGCAGAGCTCACGGGCAGTCGTTTGCTGCTCCCTAAGGCAAGGCAATCAGACTTAGCTTTGCCTCTCCCGTATCGGCACCTAAAGCACTGGTTGCCAGTCCCAGAGCAAATGTAAGAACAGAGAAATGTTCTTGTTGGATCAGACCAAAGGTGCATCTGTCCCTGCATCCTGTCTGGAGTAGGGGTCAAGAGTGGGCTTAGTGCAAGTACGAAACAAGTCGGCAGTGATACTTCCTTAGGGGCGCTCGCTCATAGTCCAACGATTTACAGGAGCTTTAGGACGTGCCAGGGGTCTCATCTTTGTATGTCAGAGTCCTTAAGGAAGAGACAGTCTTTTTTGAAGACAGGGATGCATTTCAGTAGTCGTAGAACCATAGGATAGTTTAGGTTGCAAAAGATCCTCAAGAGCATCAAGTCCAACCACCTACCTAACTCTACCAAGTCCACGGCTGACCCATATCACAAAGCACCATATCTACACAAGTTGACGTTTCAGCCACTTCCCTCAGCAGCCTGTTCCAATGCTTGACAATCCTTCCAGCAAAGACATGTTTCCTCATATCCAACCTAAACCTCCCCTGGAGCAACTTGAGGCCATTTCTTCTGGTACTTGTGAGAAGAGATAGGCATCCAGCTCTCTACAACTTCCTTTCAGGTAGTTTTAGAGAGCAATAAGGTGTCCCCTGAGCCTTCTATTCTCCAAACAGCCCCAGTTCTCTCAGCCGCTCCTCATAAAACTTAGGCCCTTCACTTGCTTAGTTGCCCCTCTCTGGACCAGCTCCAGCGTCCTGGTGTCTCTTTTGTAGTGAGGGGACCAAAACCAAACACAGTAATCAAGGTGTGGTCTCACC